TTTTTTTTTTTTTTTTGCCATTTCGATAAAAGATTCGCAACACTAGTGATTCACATACACTTATGACACGCAATAAAAAAACATAGCCAATAACTTAACAATGGACAGCAAGCAACACACAACATACGATAAAATTGGCAGACAAAACACTCGATCTCTGACTTGGTGAAATAAGTTCGTATAGTGGGCAGCCGGTGAGTTTGTCAAAGGTACCAACATACATGAATAAGACTAGATTCGTTGATTGCAAGAAATAGTACATCAGTCAAGCAACGTCGATGAGTCATCGCGAAAAGGTGGGCAAAAAAAAAAAAAAAAAAAAAAACCTTTAGCGAATACATTGAACGTGGAAAATTTTCAAGCGACAGATTCGCATGGAGATGTAAATTTTCGCAAAGAGCAATCGGACCGTGGACGCAAAACCAACAACCGTTCGGGAGTCAAATGTCTTTTTCAAAATCACGCGGTACGGGTACTTCAAATCTATGTCAATATATATACGCACACGTTACAGTAGAAAAATAGAATGATACATGCAGTGTTACGACGGGCTCTTTTTTAATTTTAAATTTTTATTCCATTATCATGAAAATATTACTGATTTTTAATTTCCTTCGATGTTTCATTGTTATTATACACTACGTGGTACGTGCATAGAAAGCGACGATGATAATAATATTGTATCTGGATTGTTTCCCGTACACCTCGATATGTGTACAGATACTTCCTCAACTTTGTCCAATTAACGTGCAACCTACAATTGCACATCGGTAATTTTTCATCTTTAAATCACCTACTCCCAGTTTCGATGACCTGCACTCGGATCCTCGCGCATGTACACCTCATACATTTGGTTATCCTCGTGACAGTGTATCCTAATTGGGCTCTGTATATGTAATTTCAACCGATTTCCCGCGATACATTTCCCAGAAAGAAATCGTTAACGATTTCTGTACACCCAACACCTCGGTTCTACAGGGCGACGGAGAAAAGCCCCGATGGAGTTTTTAACGCACCCCATCAAACGATCGAGTCCAGTTTTCGCGAGTGTCAAAGGGTCCGTTGAAAATAACGTAAAATGAAAGAAAAAAGAAAAAAGAAAAAAAAAACAGACTGACCTTTGGCATTGATGTCCCAGACGACGACTATCGCACCGAGCTCGGCAAGTTTGAGCGACACGAGTCTGCCGAGGCCGCTCCCACCCCCGGTGACGAGGGCGATTTCACCAGCCACGCTCTTCATCTTGTACTTGCTCGGCGTGAGCCACCTGACGATCGACTCGACGATGGCCATGGCCGACAGCAGCAGAAAGACGACGACCTCGCCGAGGGCTTGCATCGGGGACGGCATATTATTTTATTTTTCCTTCCACGTGGCAAACGAAAAAGGTAGTAGGTACGGAGCGGTCGAGGTAACGACTGCTGCTGAGGCAAGCAGTGGCTCACGACTGCGACGCGATGTCAGTTGGCTTTTTCGCGGTGCACCGCCACCACACGGCGGGGGATGTGCTGGACGACGAGGCGCGGGTGCCGGTCGTTGTGTATACCCCTGCGGGTTGGCCACGGCGATGGAACGCCACTGTGGGTGCAAAAACACCGAGATGAGGCGCGAGGTGGAAGGGAAGACGGAAAAGGAAAAAAAAAAAAAAAAAAAAAAAAAAAAAAAAAAAAA